GCAGGGTTGCGTCTCCCTCCAGCGGGGCGAGTTCAGAGTGCGTGACGTCACCTCAAGGGCGTGGCCAGGGGTGCGGCCAGGCTAGTGACTCCCTGTGTGTGACGTCATCGGGGGCGTATCCCCGAGCGAGGTTTCCCGATGGGGCGTGGTYTTGGTTACTACACCCCGTGGGRGRRRGGGCGTGTCTCTGAGTGACGTCACTTTTGGGGGCGCGGAATACGTTTACTCCACGAGGGGGCGTGGCCAGTTGTCTGTGTTTCTCCTGTGGGAGGCGTGTCACTCTGCGTGACGTCACCGATTGCGGCGCGGTCACCGCTCATTGTGGGCGTGGTTTGGTTGCCACGCCCACTCTGGGCCCGTTCTGCATTACGTCACCTTCGGGGCGTGGCTCAGCGCGCGCCTCTCCGGGGGCGCGGCCACCGCTCTCGGGGGGGGCGTGCCCCGCGCGTGACGTCACCGCGTGGGCGCGTCCCCGTGCGTGACGCTCCCGCCAGTGCCCAACATGGCGGCGGGCGGCGGCGGCGGGAGCCCCGGCAGCGGCTGTGGGGGGACCCCGCTGTCCCCGGGCCCGTTCCTGCCGCCGCTGCTGYTGCTGCTGGCGCTGCCCGGCGGCGCCGTGCCCGCGGCCGACACCGTGGTGCTGGGGCTGCGGCTGGAGGAGAGCACCAAGCCGGCGGCGGCGGAGGCGGCGGGGGCGGCCCGCGGGCCCATCCGGCTGACGGAGGGCAGCGAGGCCCTGCTGCGGCTCTACGGGCTGGGGCTGGGCCCGCGGGCCGCCGAGCGCGTGGCCTTCGCCGAGCTGCGGCCGGGCGGCAACGCCTCGAGCGGCAACGCCACGTGCCACGAGCGCTCCCAGGACCTGGTGGTGCGGCCGGGCCCCGCCGAGCCCCGCGACACCTCGGCGCTGCTGCGGCTGCGGGTGCAGCCCCTGCGCAAGGACGAGCGGGCCAAGACCTACGTGCTGTGCTCGCAGCGCCGGCCCGGCCAGCCCTGGCTGCCGCACCAGGGGCCCGACGGGCACATCGTGGTGCTGGAGGAGAAGAAGTCGCTGCTGCCGCTGTGGCTTCAGGTGATCCTGATCGCGGGGCTGCTGGTGCTGTCGGGGATGTTCAGCGGGCTCAACYTGGGGCTGATGGCGCTGGACCCCATGGAGCTGCGCATCGTGCAGAACTGCGGCACCGACAAGGAGAAGCGCTACGCCCGCCGCATCGAGCCCATCCGCAGGAAAGGCAACTACCTGCTCTGCTCGCTGCTGCTGGGCAACGTGCTGGTCAACACCACCCTCACCATCCTCCTGGACGATCTCATCGGCTCGGGCATCGGCGCCGTGGTGGCCTCCACCATCGGCATCGTCATCTTYGGCGAGATCGTGCCCCAGGCRCTCTGCTCGCGGCACGGGCTGGCCGTGGGYGCCAACACCATCRTGGTCACCAAGTTCTTCATGCTGGTGACGTTCCCGCTGTCCTACCCCATCAGCAAGCTCCTGGACTGCATCCTGGGCCAGGAGATCGGCACCGTCTACAACCGGGAGAAGCTGGTGGAGATGCTGAAGGTGACGGAGCCCTACAACGACCTGGTGAGGGAAGAGCTGAACATGATCCAGGGCGCGCTGGAGCTGCGCACCAAGACGGTGGAGGACGTGATGACCCCGCTGCAGAACTGCTTCATGATCAACAGCGACGCCATCCTGGACTTCAACACCATGTCYGAGATCATGGAGAGCGGCTACACGCGCATCCCGGTCTACGAGGACGAGCGCTCCAACATCATGGACATCCTGTATGTCAAGGACCTGGCCTTTGTGGATCCCGAYGACTGCACGCCCCTCAAAACCATCACCAAGTTCTACAACCACCCYGTGCACGTGGTCTTCCACGACACCAAGCTGGACGCCATGCTGGAGGAGTTCAAAAAAGGTGAGGATTCCCAGAAAAAATTCCCTGGAGTTTTTCTGGAGCTGCCCCTGCTTGGGGCTGCCCCATGGATTGGGTGGTCAAATGGGATGAGGGTCCTGGGGATGTGTCGCTGGGGTGCTGCTTCTTTCCAAAATTCCCAAGAATTTTCCT